CATGTAGAGACTCATGTCAGCGCTGAGATGCTTCCACCACCACTGGATCCACAAGACTTTCAACCCACTGGCCTGTGATCGTCCTGCATTCAGAGTCATTGCATGTGTTTCTTGAGTCTGAAGAGGACTTTATAGATGGGTGTCAGATATATGGGCTAATATCGGGCTTAAGGGCTTGGACTGGACTGGGTTGGGATGCTTTCTTAATGTACAATTACCCTTTGTATAAAACTCTCTCTTATACGCATATGAGTTTCTATGGCTTTGTTTCTCTTACCTACCGGGACTAACACACAGCCCAGTGTGTAACCATTACATCACCAGGTCTTCTTATAATCAAATTAATGTGTGGTTTATTGGATCCTGGTTCATGGTGCAGGGGGTGGGTGAGTGGTGGAATAGCCCTGGTGCCACAGTGGGCTGCTAACCACAAGGCCAGCCGTTTGAAACCGCCAGTCAATGTAGAGGAGGAAGGTGAGGCTTTCCACTCCGTACAGACTTACAGTCTTGGAAACCCACAGGGGCAGTTCTACCTTGTTCTACAGGGTCACTGTGAGTTGGCATGGACTCCATGGCAGTGAATTTTGGTTTTGATTTGGGGGTCAGGGAGTGGGGGAAGCAGCTAGCAAAAATATGATCGGAATAACTGGGGACATTTGAATATGTACTGACTGATATGTGAGTGAGTTTGTGGAGTTATTAGTTTTCTTGGTCTTGTTGTTAGGTGCCCGTGGGTCAGAACTGACTCACGATGACGCTGTCTACAACAGAACCACCCATTGCCCAGTCCTGCACCACTCCTGTGATTTGTTGGTGAGTGTCCTTGTGTTTAAGAAATGCCCTGCCTGTTGATCTCTCTCGGGCAGGCCATGGGGGTGCCTAACATTTACTGCCTGTGGTTCCGCTAAAAAGAAAAAAACGACACAGACCTACAAATACATTTGTAGCTCAAGCTGACATCCAAACGTTACCAAGGATCCCATCTAGGGAGGAGGGTCATTGATTGATCGATTCATTCAGGTGTCCAGTATATTCACACACTCCTGCCTCTCTCCCGCCTTTTATTTGGGCTTGAATACTTTTAAAAAAATCATATTTAATTGTATTGTTGGTGAACGTTGACACAGCAAATTAGATTTCCATGTAACCAATTGTGCAGTGAAGTTGGTTACATTTTTTAAAGAATGTATCAACATTCTCCTTCATTCCATTCCGGATGTCTTATCTCCAGTAACCTGGTATCTTTGTCCCCTTCTCTAGCCATCTTTGCTTTAGAGTCTGTTGCTGACCATTTGGTCTCAAGTAGGTGATTTTTTTTAAGGTTGTGCTTGAACATGTTCATAATAATATATATATGTTTAAGTGTAAAATATTCATTAGAACCAGGTTCCTGCTAGTTAAACTCACAAAATTCCTCGAGTCCACTTTTTACAACCTAGGTAAAGGAAACTGGGGCTTTCCAAGTGGCTTCTTTCAAGGCATGGTGGTCATTTGCGCAGCATATATTTATTGATCCCTCGCCTGTATTTTGGGCTGTTGTCTGGGGAGACCAGGCGCTGGAGAAGGTGCTTGGTGAAGCAGAGGAGCCCTTGGCAAGGTGAATCGACTCAGTGCTCCAACACCGGGTGTGGGTGACGTGGGACCAGGCAGGGTGTCCCTTTCGTTCTGTTGTTGCAAGTTGGAGCCATCTCGAAGGCACCTGACAACAACTATGTCTGGGGAGGAAGGAGGTCTGATAACCTGGTGGGTTAGGCGTTGGGCTGCAAACCCCAAGTTCGGTGGTTCAAACCCAATGTGGCAGTGAGAGAATCTGCTGTCAATTTGAGAGGATTAAGAGTTTACCTGTCAATCAGATCGCAGCTTGATAACCTCCTTTGGAGGCACTAAGGAGATAAATAGCTCACTGGAGGCGGGACACTCACTCAGTCCCTGCCAGGCATTCTTGTTGACAAGCCACATGGGGACAGGCTGATGGCAACCAGAGCATCACAGCTGGAGAAGCCACGTGGAGACCCCTGCCAGCGCTGAGATGCTTGTACTGCCACTGGATCCACAAGACTTCCCACCCACTGGCCTGTGATCTTCCTGCACTTGGTGTCATTGCATGTGTTTTGTTGAGTCTGAAGAGGACTTTATTGATTGGTATTGGACATATGGGCTAATATTGGACTTGATCT